AGATAAGCTTAGGCAGAAACACAGTGAGCCTTGCAACTTAACAGCAGGCATCTACTGAAACTATGTACAGCGCACAGGTAACCCTTGGCCTTACTTATTACAGAACAACTGCTACAATCCAAAACTTGTCATTCTAGGAACAACACAATCTATTAAAATGACTAATTCTCAGGAGTTTCTTCCACAGGTGAATAAGAGAATTAAGCTTCGGGCAAAAACTGACTCTTTCAGTGTCACAAAGCCCATAATAGAACCTCTTCAGCCTCCACTGACAAAATAGGCCTTAGAAAAATCTAAAAATCTGCTTGAAATCTAGTGAGGACAGACAAAGGCAAACTCACTTAATGTTACAGGTATTCGTGCTTAAACTGCAGGAACAGCTTGCAGTTTAACTAGTTGCACAGCTGGGATGCAGGAAATTTTTCACAAGGCTAAAATTAATGCCTATATTCAAGGCCCTTCAACATAATTGCTTATTATGGCATGTTCCACTGAAACATTTATTCACAGGATGCAGTTCTTCTTACTTTGGAAACGAAGGTTTCCAGTGGAGAGTTGTTCCCATTTGAAATGTTCCTGTCTCACAGCAGGGCTCCAGGATACTTTCGTAATTCAGATTCCAGATGAGAATAATTGTTCACAGTCAAGTTCTCAAAGAACAGGGAATACTAAACTAACAGAGAAAGATGACATTCTCTTTACGTGTGCATATATGTTCATATGTAATCCTAATATGTTAATTGGCAGCTGCAAAGAAGAACTAGTAGGATGCTTAAACACCAGTTTTATTTACCTTATTGGTCAGGATTCCTCCCAAGTCTGCAGTTATAAGCTAGAGTGGTATGAAAAAATGTCAGCAAAACTCACCTTACTATAGATATTTATTCTTGTTATTGCTCCTCAAAAAGCATTTATCTTCCACATAGTCCATCTAGATTTATAACAACTTACCTCCTGTTGTAAGCCTTCCTTTTTGGTCTTGTATGGAAGTTTTCAGTGACTTTTAACCTTCAAGAGATGAGTGAAAACCAAAGTTTTCTGTCTGAAAGTCTAGTATTCTCAGATCGGA